GACCCACTCGCTGCACGTTGACTGAACACCTGTGGGCGTGACAACGATGCGATGATGCAAAATTAGGTGTAGTTGTCTTGCGCTGGAGGCGGTCATATGCAAACAACTGGTGCTAGGTGACATCACGTTGCCCCATAGGATCCACAACGAGCCGTATTTGGAGCTTGATTAAATAAATGCTTCGTTTATAATGGGGAGGACGTCTTAAGCTAAGAAATTTGCAGGAAGTTTTAATGGTACAAAGATCTCTTATATGCCAGAAGATCAAGGCAAATTTGGTTTCTCATGTCATAACCCCTTTAATCTTCTTTAAGCGTAAAGTAGCAACTGTATCTAAGGTGCTAGAAACACTTGTTTCTCTGGGTAATGTTATTTGAATCACCATTACTTCAAACGAATTATACTTGAAACCAGAGCTCTGAGAAATTCTGAAAATATTACTATAAATTGTAGAAACACCTCCCCCTTTACCTTTTGGACGCGGCTCATGTTTATAACAGTAATCTTGGGGGGTAGACTCATTTAAGATAATGTAATCATCTGGTTTTAGCCAGGTTTCTGTCAAACAGAGCACAGTTAAGTTATGATCTGTGATCATTTCATTTACAAAAAACGCTTTTGTTGAAAGGGTTCTAGCATTCATTAAGCCAAGCTTTATCAATGGTTTATCTGTATTATATCTGTTTTTTATTTGTTGAACATCAATTAAATTGTTACCCTTAAATTGTTTTGGACGTTTTTTGTATTTGCTAGTTCCGGGAACAGACACAGTCTCTATAGTATGATATGTAGGTGAAAGAGTCTCTATGTGCTGAGAATTAACTGACTTCTGTGATGTGAGGTGGCTAGCAGACGGTTTGTTTAGCCAATCTGTCTGCTTCCTGACCTGGGCCCCAGTTAGTCTTATTTTTTTCCTCTCTCCCCTCTCTCGTCTCTGTCTCTCCTCATCCTTCCGTCTCCTTTTCTCTCGCCTCATCTGTCTGTCCTTACCCCCGGTACGCCGCGGCCGCCGTGATCGGCTCCCCCGGAGGGGGGAGGGGGGGGAGTAGAGCGCAGTCTCGGGAGTACCCCCCGGCCTGTGAGGGGCGATGGGGGTATGTGACGAGAGGGGCGGGGCCGAGAGCCGTGGGAACGGAGCAAGGCTGGTGGAGTAAATGCTAATGCACGACACTTGCGCCACTCACCGGTCTCGAGTCCCACGGAGGAGCTCGTGGGAACGGAGCGAGGCCGGTGGAGTAATTGATAATGAGCGACACCTGCACCACTCACCGGTCTCGAGTCTCACGGAGGAGCTCCGGAAGGATAAAGGAGGAGTGACGACAGTGTTGGACGAGAGAGGACCAGGCCTGGAGTTTATTTTGTGTTTTGTGTGCGGCAGTCGTCCGCGAGGGGCTGCCGCTTTAATTTCATTTTGCGTTTGTTTATTTGATTAAAGTTTTGTTTAAACGTTCGCCGGTTCCCGCCTCCTTCTTCCCGATCTACAAACGACGTTACAATGTTATTTAAAGAGGGGAGACACACCTCTTTAATGTTATTTAAAGAGGGGAGACAGCACTGTCTAGGTAAGGGCTCAAGAGACCGCTCCTTAAACTCTAAGCAGGGGCCGAGCTAGCAGACAGCTATCCTCAGATAGCTTGACTCTAGGAAAGGGGACCACTGCAATTGTCACCAGCAGTGACTGTCTAAGTAAACCCAAAAGAGAAGACATCACTGCTACCAAACGGCTATCCTCAGATAGCTATGGTCTGGAAAGGGTTAATTGCAGCTACAAACACAGCCAGCCTCGAATGGCTGTAATTTAAGTAAACCCACCCTACCATAGCAGGGCTGGAATATAACCATCCTCAGATGGCTATAATATGCGGGTCCCCAAACCGGGTCAGTCCCACAGGCTAGCGAACCATTGTGTTATTGACCAGAAGCTCACAAGAGGGAGACTAAGACCATCAGTAAATGATTCGCTCAGAGCGAACACATAAAACATCATTAGTCATCATGATCATTAGGGGAGAAAGATGATTAGGAAGCGCCAGCCTCGGGACGTGGAAGATGACCGTGCTTCTTATCTAGCATGTTCCTGAGATCCTTTTTCCCTTTGTTAGCAGTAGGCTTCCCTTGCCGACTCCTAGAGGGAGGATGGGCACGGTTAGCAACGCTAGACTTTTGATCTTGTCTATGAGCCTCAATTCTAGACTGATCCATCCCCCTTAAGTGAGGATTTGGAGTGCCGAGGAATGAATTTCCTGAAAGCAGCGATTGTGCTTTCGCCTCCCTGAACTTCTCCACAACCTCCTCGACGGAAGTGCCAAAAAGCCCTGCCGGCGAAAGCGGAACATCGAGGAGAAAGTATTTTTCTTTCTTCCCGATGACCATGAGATTGATCCACAGATGTTTCTCCGTAGCCACCATTGAAACCACCATTGAAACCTCTGCCCATATCCAAATCCTTCAGCAAGTCAGCCTGATAGACTTGTAACACCACCATGGTGTGCAAAGCACCACCAGCCTGACCCGCTGCCACATACACCCTGCCATTCCAGCGCGAGGTGGTCTGAAGCACTACTGACGGCAAGGCAGAAGTCTTTAAAGAGGACCCTGCGAGAGATAGCTCACAAACGTCTCTTCAACAGGGGGCATCCTTGCATATCCGCGCTCAGCCACACCTACAACATGAGCATAGTCAGTGTGTTGAAAGGGATGCAACCGAAAGGAATACGGTTTCCCCCAGGATTTAGATATCTCTGAGTGGAGATCTGGGAGAAATGGAAGACTGCCGGGGGAGGGACGATCAAGACTGGCCAAAAAACGTTCATCTAGTCGGCCGCGAGCCGGCTTAGGCTTCTCACATGTCCAAGCCAGATTGAGCCGCTTAGCGGCGTGATCCATCGCATCCAACATATGGAGTTGCTGAAAAAAGAGACAAATGTGATCGGAGCTTTCACATAGAAAATGATTCACAATGCACGCATTCGGAGCCCTCAAGCTCCGAACGCGCATGCTCCTCCCCCAGGCACATAATGTGCGTGTCCTCAGGTGTCAAATGCCTAGGACACGGAGGCACGCACTTCTTGAAACGCTCACCCGGGTTGACAGACATAGTACTCTTTTACACACTGCTCGCAAAAGACGGCTCCTGAAGACAGCAAAGAGGATGACGTATCCAGCAGGTGCCCTTTTATACTTCCGGGCACCCCGCCTATGACGTCATAGGCCAGGTGGACCAATAGATTGCCGTTGTTTCACACATGCTTCAGACACCGGTCATGCAGGCTGCATTCCCCAATGTGCCCCCTAGGTGGCGCAGCGTGGAGTTCCCTAGAAGGGGAACCCAGAGATTCCCTCATTTCAGGGTTAACATACTCAGAGTTTTCACTTAACCTCCTTTCTGAAAGGGGCCTCAGCTCTGCTCTGGCTTTGTTTGGAACTATTACATTTGCAAAACGAAAAAATACAAAATTAGTCTAAAATGTAACCCACTCAATCAACTTCTTGTCTGTTGAACTGCTGTATAAAATTAATTTAACATTTGCGATCAAGCACACGTGCTGATTCTTGTGTGATATTACTTAACTACATAAAGATAAAAATAAATAAATAAAGACTCACATAGGGATATACAGTATTTCTTTCATTATTTGAATTACAGAGGCATTTTAACGGCATTCTAATAAATAGGCTTCATCGTGCAATGAATGCTTTTGGACTCTCAAGACGTGGTTTTGTTTGTTTTTTGCAAAGTAAATGGTATACTCGATGTCAGCTCGCACACATCTTTAAAGGCCGGGACACACCAAGCCGACGGTCGACCATTGGCCATTGTCGGGCCGACGGCGAGTGACGGTCGGGCTAGTTTGTTTGGTGTGTTCCACTCGTCGGCTCGGGCCGATGGCGAGTGACGGTCGGGCTAGTTTGTTTGGTGTGTTCCACTCGTCGGGCTCACATCGGCGGCAGTTTGCCCGATTCAACATGTTGGCAGTACAATGAAGGCGGTACAGACAGAAGGCTGTTTAAATGTTCCGTGATCTTTCCCAATCATTCTAATACGCGAATGTTTTCATAACAACATAAGCCGCTTAAAATGATTAAAGTTATCAACTGATATTCAAAATGGTAAGCAAGCCCTGCTTTGTTTATGTTTTGTATATCTATGTTTATCTCGTATATCTTTGTTTCGGCTTCTCCTTTTGAATGATGAATATATACTATTGATAGCTGCTTATATAGACAGTTAATTCCTCTCACGCATGCGCAGAACACACGTGTTAGTTTGCCGTCGGCTGTAGTCTGTGCGGTGGGTTCGAGCGCAGCTTTTTGGACCGACGCTGCCGACGTGAGGCGACAACTCCGTCGGCTTTCAGCGCCGCTAGTTCTTTGAAGTCGGCTTGGTGTGTCCCGGCCTTTAAACTACAATTACGATATTATCATAGACGATAAATATCACACACCCCTAATCAGGAGCTCTAAGTTTGAGAAATTTATTTTTTGCAAAGTCACTGACTAGCGTGAATTAGAAAAGGGTTATCATTTCTGAATGAACGCATCCCTCGTCTCTCTCTCTCAGTATTGTCCCTCCTCACAGTCACACATATACAGCACAAATAATTATGTCAGCGGAATGTCTTTAAACACTAACTAAGGAAATATCATACCTTATGTTATCTTCTTTTTAAAGAACGTCAGAAGTTGCGCTCGAAACATTTTGCGCAAAAATTACGAAAACATGAGTGAGCTTGCGCGCAGCTGGTTAATACTGAGTTCTAATTGGCCAGTCGCCGTTATTTAGTTAATAAATTATACGTAGAGAACATTAATATTTAATTTGCACGATAAGTTTTACATAATACTCACAGCATTATTAATCTAAAGGGGATGGTAAGGGGGGATGGTGGTTTTACAGAGGGGGAATGATTTTTGTAATTGTATTTGTGTACTTAGATGTTTATTAGTAAGAACCTAATGTTCATACAAACCTATTTACACATGAGTAATGCTTTTCTTAGTGAGGATAAATCCTGGTGTGCAGTCTCTGAGTCAGTCACCAATATTTCCAGAAGGAAATCAGGTAAGAGAGCATAACTTTTACCTTCACATTGTCCATGCTAAATTATCCTTCAGATAATATTCAACTCTTATGAATTTAATATTGTAAAACAATGTAGAAAGGAAGACATTAAAAGACAAACTGCCTTTCAATAATCAGCACCCTTCTTGCAGATCTTCTTTCTCACTCATTAAAATACTAAATAGCTAAATTACAAATTTGCTTAATGTAATAGTAACCCTAACCCTAACATACTGTATAAAAACAATGAAACTTAGGTATTATTATTATATTCAACTGTAAATATAGTTGTAAATACATTGTAAAACCATACCATCTCAATTAGGAAAAAAGGACAAGAGAACCAACCAACAGTAAGTTGTCTTAAAATCTGCTTTGTAAATTAAATTATTTTGTAAACTAAATTTGCACTTCTATTGTATATATTTATCTGTTACATGTGGACAATGTTTGTGAAGAGTGTTTGAGTGTTCTTGTCTTTCATTATGTGTTTTTATTTATCTATAATTCTTTATAGAATTATCAAGGCACACTTCACATCACAGTAAATCAGATGAGAAACAACATGGGGTATGTTTGCACATTAATACTGTCCATAAACTGACAATGTTGTCTTATATTGTATTGTTTAGGTTTTCACACCATTCATTGCTGCTTAAATGAAGAATAAATAAATTTAATATTCATCAGTATTCATCCTAAAAATTAATATACTGCATATTGTTACATTGTCAAAACTGACTTTATGTTGTGACTCTTTCATAAAGAACCACTGTAAAATGAATGATTGGATGTTATGGTGAAAGAAGTCTAAAATCTCTTCACTGTGTTGTTTTCATTAAATTAGAATTACAGCAAGAGCGTCTCTGGTAAGTTTCCTTAAAATAATTAACACTTCATCGGTTTTATTCATTCTAATATTTTTGTGCTATCAATTTTTGTGTAGTGTTTGTGTAAGTAAAGGTGAAAGTTGTAATGCGTGTAAGACCATCTTTCTCTCTTTTCCTCACAGATAATTTTCAGCTTGTTATTCCTCAAACAGCTCAAGAAGCACAGATTTATATGGGGTCTAAAATCATTGTTCCTTGTCACTTGACTCCTGAAATCTGTGCCATTGCCATGCAGATCAAATGGTTTAAGGAGACAGACAGTGTTTGCATCTACAAGAACGGACATGTGACTGAGGGGAGGAACTACAAAGACAGAGCGAGTCTCGCCACTCACATACTGGAGAGAGGAAATGTGTCCTTACATCTAAATAATTTCAGTGTCTCAGATGTTGGTGATTACTATTGTCAGGTCATCAGTGGAGACAGAACACAGCAGATTACAGTAGGAGGTGAGTATTCTGCAGGTCCATACTACATCAGCCCAGAGTGCTTATTAACAATATTTTGTCAGAATGAAGTAAACTGAAATCACTTGTTGGGATAGGATGCATTTTTAAGCTATAGTGTTTTATATAATGCCACTTATAGAAGCCCAATCCTAAATTAATTAGTGTAGTTGTGTAGTTATTAGTTGAGTATCTAAAATCACAGATTTCACACAAACCTATTAACACATTGTCTTCTTAGTGAGGATAAAATCTGAGGTCCAACATGTGAGTCAGTCACCAACATTCCAAGGCCAAAGTATTCAGCTAAAGCTGTTTGAGGTAAGAAAGCCTACAGGTTAATTCATTTCAATTGACTCCACTGTGGTTTGAATGGAATTTATTTATGCTGTCTGGTATAATTATTAACAGATATGTCAGGGATGTCAGATCATTTTACTTGGTTTGAACGTGACACTCAAGCATTTAGTATATAAAAAAAATCTGTTAAAGACATAACTGAAGGAGTCAGTTAAAGTTTCTCACTGGCATATTCTAAAAACAATAGAATTAGCAATAGAATAAATTAATTTATTTTAAAAAATGTATTAAATTATTTACCATGTTTTCATATCTAGTTTGTATGACCCCAATCTATTTGTCTTCACCTTACAGATAGACAAAATATGGACTAAACAGGAGACAGACAAAATGAATAAATCTGCTCTAATGGCTGGTGAGTGTTATTGGAAATTTTACCAAGTTCACGAAAGGTTATATCCAAGAAACAGATGATCTATCTGATATAGGAAACAAATTAATAATATAATACAAATTAATATTAAGAAATGATTCTAAACATAATGTGCAATTTTTTTTAGAGGAGCTTCAGAATATGTTAATTAAGGCTTGCAAAGAAAAAGACAGACAGCTGGAAAGAGCTGAACAGGAGTTGAGAGAGACCAGAAAGATGTTGGACAGACTCTTAAGACTCAACCCTCATGCTCAGTTTTTGGACAGAGACAAATCAAATCCCGTTTGATAGCTAAGAAATGTGCCTAACTTTGAAATTTCAGGTTGATGCTTAATGCCTTTTCTTAAATTCATGAGAGCTTTTATTACAATCAATATTTCAGTTTTTTTCTCAAATTAAGTATACATTAATTAAGGCATGTTATTCTGAAGAAAATTACAATTACAAAGAATTTACAGTTTACCTAATGTTTGTTTTGTAACCTTCCACAAACTAAAATAAAGCAGCTTAATAAATGCTTATTTATAAATTTTCATTACTGTACCATGCCTTTATAATAGTAGAATTTCTTTATTTGCCAACTGATTAGCAACACATTCTTTTCAACCAACAATCTGGCAATACTCGTCAAACATCATGTAACATAATATTTATGTAAGTCTTCACAAATAAAAGAATACAGACTCTTGTCACAAATATGAAGTAGTTATTGTGTTCTTCATAGAACCCTTGGGTGCCCGATGGGGCAGGACCCCTGTCATGAAGATTTCTGCTCCGAATGCCCAGTTTTCAATGTGGCTATGGTTAGGTTTGGGGGTGGGCTTTAAGGATAGGGACCAATCAGAAAGCAGCCTGAGGGGGAGGGTTGGGGCGCTGGGACACACACACACACAAATAATAATAAAACAACACCAATGGAAGTAAGAATTGCCCTGACAAGTACGTTCTGACAAGTACGTTCTGATCGCAGCGCGAGTATAATTGGCAGCAGATGCAACGCATACTCAGCTTTTCGCTTTGGAGCCGAGTGGTTATATTGTTCTGCTCCTGACTTCTCTGCTACAGAGTGAAGACTCAACGAGTTCAGCGCGCTCTTGGGAAGCTCTGGTGTTGGCTCTGCGGCGCTTCAGCGACGGTGGTTCTTCCCGTGTCGAGTAGGTTACACACATCAAGCTGCACTATCCCTTGTTTGTGTTGCAGGCCGGCCATCTCCCCTGTGCGCTTCAGCACATTTAAAAGAGCAATCTCTAAAAGAGCATTCACGGGTGGACGTCTTTTTAAAGACGCGTATTTTTAAAGATGCCTTTTCACCTGTTTCTGGATGCGGTCGTTACCTGGCGTCGGGTGATGGTCACGATCGCTGCCTCACGTGTCTGGGCGCTAAGCATGCTGAGGCGGCGTTTGTGGACGATTCATGCTCTCATTGTGGGAAAATGACCATCGCGGAGTTGCGGACCAGGCTCCGTTTCCTGCAAAGGGGCGGGGTTCCTGTACCTCTGCCTAGATCTAGTGTTCCCCCTGGCAAGAGCCGGGGGGGTGCTACTTCTGGCAGTAGTCGTGACGGTGAGGAATTCCCCTCCGAGGAACCAACCTCTGAGGGCTCCTCCTTCCACCGGCACTTCGGAGCCAGTGGAGCTGCCCAGGGAACAGGCTGGACCCTCCCGTAGGGTACCACTTGTATCCTTCGACGCTCCCACCGACGATGGGATGTCGATCGCTGCATTGGAGGGGGAGCCAGACCTTTCTGGAGATGATGATGATCCAGCAGCGCTGCCGCCTTCTGGGTGGCCAGCGATGCCGGATTCGGATCTGGAAATGGTGGCTATGCTTGCCTGGGCCGCCAAAAGGGTTGGGCTCGAGTGGAATCCTCCACCGCGTCCGAGCCCTCGAGGCTGGATGATTGGTTTCTCGGGGTGGCTCGCGTTGGTTCTCAGGGCCCCACCCCAGTGCCTTTCTTCCCGGAAGTGCATGATGAGCTCACTGGGTCGTGGACGGCACCTTTCACTGCTAGAAACTGCCCCGGTGGCTCATCCTCCCTGACCACCATCGATGGTGGGGCAGCGCAGGGGTATACGGAAGTCCCTCCAGTGGAGCGGTCGGTTGCGATGCAATTGTGTCCAAATACCACTGCCACCTGGTGGGGCAAGCCGTCGCTCCCCTCCCGGGCCTGTAGGTACTCGTCGGCCCTGACCGGCAGTGCTTATGCGGCCTGCAGAGAAGCTGCCACTGCCGTACACGCCATGGCATTGTTGCAGGTTCATCAGGCCAAGGCACTGAAGGACCTGCACGAGGGTGGGCACGATCCAGAAGGTCACGGCGCGGTCTCTGGGCCGTGCAATGTCCACTATGGTGGTCCAGGAATACCATCTCTGGCTGTGTTTGGCCGACATGAGGGAGACCGACAAGACTCGGTTTTTAAATGCCCCCTTGTCCCAGACCGGCCTCTTCGGCGACGCAGTGGAGAACTTCACCCAGCAGTTCTCCGCCGCACAGAAGCAGACAGAGGCCATCAAACACATCCTGCCCCGGCGTGCAGCTGCTGCCTCCACCAGCGGCAACTCCTCAGTCTTCTCGTCTCCGAGGCCGGCCCCCTGCCGCCGCCCCCACTCCCCCCCAGCAAACGCAGCAGCCTCCAGCAAAGCAGCGCCGTGGAGCCAGTCGCAGGGCAGCCACCCCGCCCGTCCAGACCCCCGCCAAACCTGGTGGCAAGCGGAAGAGCAAGAGGCCCTGAGACGGGTGACCCAGAGATGGAGGGAGCTGCTCCAGCAGGGAGCACCACTCCTTCCCCCGGAGGAGGGCCGGGTGGAGAATCTTTTGTTTCTTTTTTCCCCACCACTGACTTCATGGTCGGTGGTACCCAAAATCTCGACAAAAGTGCAGTTTCTTCTATCTCTGGGTTCCCAGATGGGACGGGGAGTTGTGGACTGGCCAGTCTCAGATCACACTCACCCTCCTCTCTCGCCAGTGAGCAGCTGTGGGTGGTTCAAGAGTGCGATTAAACGTACTACTCATGCACCCTCTGCCTGAATGCAGGTAAGTGTTGTACACACGCTGACTCCGCTTCGGACTGGCAACGAGACGCCCGGGCCGGGTCCCTGCGTTGCCCCTGCACGTCTTGATCATGGCTGTGATTGCTGCCAACCACGACCTGTGGAAGGGAAGTCGGTGGGGAAGCATGACCTGGTCATCAGGTTCCTTAGTGGGGCGAGAAGGCTAAATCCTCCATGGTCCCCCTCTATACCCTCTTGGGACCTGTCTCTGGTGCTCAGAGCACTACAGCAGGACCCATTTGAGCCTTTGCAGACAGTTGAGCTTCTATCAATGAGTTTATATCAATGAAGACTCTGCTCCTGCTTGCACTGGCCTCCATCAAGAGGGTAGGGGACCTGCATGCATTTTCGGTCGATGATTCGTGCCTAGAGTTTGGGCCGGCTGACTCCCAGGTAATCCTGAGGCCCCAGCGTGGCTATGTGCCCAAGGTTCCCCGGAGGAGGCAGACCCAGCCCTAGCTTTTCCCCGTCTGAGCTTTTGAGATGCTACGTAGACCAGACACAAAGCTTCAGGACCTCAGACCAGTCAGGCACAGGGTGTGCCCTGCCCATTCAGGTTGCGAGCTCACTCTTCTAGAAGTGTTGTATTCTCCTGGGCGCTGGCTCGTGGCAACTTGTTGGCAGATATTTGTAGAGCTGAGGGCTGGGCGACCCCCAAAACGTTTGCTAGATTCTATAGCCTTCATGTGGAGTCGGTATCCTCCTGTGTTCTCACCTCAAACGGGTAGAAGCACTGAGAGGCTTGCTAAAACTGTTCCAGAGTGTCCACACTGTAGACCCTATCGAGCTCCTCCATCCCCTTGGCAGCCAGACGTGGCGGAACGTCTGGCGCCAGGCCCTCACTCAATGAATCCGTGAGAACCGGTAGAGGGCTGGGTTCCATATGTAGAGACCTAAGTGGATCCCATATGTGTAAAGTCCACGGTATAGCCTCAGAGCCCGTGTTTCCCCGGCAGACTTCTGCCATTTCCAAGAGGGTTATAATGACCTCTAATCTTCCATATGCACCTAAACGGTTGTTCATATGTGTATGTGCTTCCGAAACCTCCTTCGGGAAGGATGGGGTTTCAGCAACATTCCTGTTCCAAGTGGAACGGGTACGTTTTCTCAGTGTTATCCAATCTCACTGAATGGATAGTGCTACAGCAACAGTGACTGGCCTTCTTGGTGCGAGCCCTGGCCTACACCAAAAAGGGGCGCAGGCGGCTCGCACAGGACACTGGAAGGGGCAGCATCCATGGCGCTTTGGTAGGGCTCCCAATTCGTTGGTCACCGACATGACGTCGAGAGTGACCGACTGAAAAGGAACATCTCGGTTACGTATTGTAACCCTCGTTCCCTGAAGGAGGGAACGGAGAAATCACGTCCCGTCGCCACGGCTGCTGTACCACCGCTGAGCGGCCGGGTCACCGGCTCGGCTCCTCAGCGAAAACCTGAGTATGCATTGCACCTGCTGCCTAATTATACTCGCACTGCAATCAGCGGCTGCTGGATGCAATCATTGCATGCCAATGTGCATTGGCTCATTTAGTTTACACTCGAAGTGGATTGGTCTCTCTAAGCGAGATCACAATCCGTCGGTCACCGACGTGACGTCTCCATTCCCTCCTTCAGGGAACGAGAGTTACATACGTAACCGAGACGTTACTTCATCTCTACAACGGAATTGCAGCGCCCCCGCGTGGACACAGTGGTCTAGTGCAGCATCTCACTGATATCGCTTTAAAAGCTAAAATGTTTAAATGCTAAAATGTTTAGTCAAACTTCACCTTTCAGCAACATTAGGCTATATCATTATCATTACCCATTTCAAGTGTTGAAATGTGGCTATAAAGATCTTAATGCAGGCGAAAGGATTCATCTATATGCAGAGAGAAATCCTTATAAAGTATAAGGAGTTATTATAATAAAACAGTTTTTTAAGAAAATCTCTCTCAAACTGTTAACATTAAAAAGATATCTGCTGCTGATCCTAGATCTACGGTGGCCGAGAGAGCTCAATGCGCTGCAAATAGAAAAAACACCTGCAAATTAAGAAAACAACTTCATCAATTTGTCAACACACGTGCTGCAAATGCTCACAACACAACCAAATAAAGAAACACACTGCAAATAGAAAAAAAGCACCTGCAAATTAAGAAAACAACTTCATCAATTTGACAACACACGCGTTGCAAATGCTCACAACACAACCAAATAAAGAAACGCACTGCAAATAGATAAAAGCACCTGCAAATT